CTTCCGATTCGGGGTCTTACTTGAAAGATGAAATATCTCTTGGAAAGCGTGCGAAATTCAGATTCTTTAACTTGTGTGGTGATAAAACACTGAAGTAACTAAGAATTACCGGACGCCTCAGAATCACGAAAATTTTGTGTGGGTGAAATATCATTTTCATTGGAAATCCTCTGGCCTGGCATCGACTCATCCTTGATATTTGTCTTCCGACGGTGATGATCCCACTGCATCAAAATGGCTCGATCTCTTCCACCCAGCGGGCCAATACGACCCCCCCCCCCTGCGACGTGTCGAGGATTCCTCACGCACGCTTGTCCTGGTCCGGAGCCCCCTTGATTACAGAATCAACACTTGCGCTGTTGGCAGAATGTCTCGGCCGCCTGCGCTGCAGGGCTGAAGTGAGCAGGGAGCGTCCTGCCGCGTCCCAATTTTCGTTATTTAGCATGGCCATAAATCTTGTACAGCTTATCGTTAGCATTGTATCGCCAGCTATCGTTGGACCAGCGATGACAGGAATTAGCTATGGTTGTACAAGGGAAAAGAGAAGTGCCGTAGAGATCATCTCACGACCCCTTGTCTGGATTCTAGACCACTGTACGCTGCGCTTTTCTGATTCATAATGTACATTCACGAGCCGAGGAATAGATAGATAGGGAAAGCATGTTGAGCTCTAGCGCTTTTTCATGCGAGATGCAGGTTATCCAGCTCGCATTCAATAACCTGGACCAAAATAAGCCTTTCCTTGGTTTGTGGCAATCGCGGAGGAGAGTATGAGGCGAGAGAGCACCAGACCACATTCGCGAGCGGGGAACATTCCAGCTGGCAGCAGCCAAAATTTGCAAGGCCCTAATACCGTTGTCGGATGACCTCAGCACGGGAGTATCACATCTGTGATTATCCAGGGGTCAATCCCACAGGGCGAAGGGGATGGTTGGCGCGACTTCTACTTGGGTTGTGCCCTTAATGATGATGGTAATGAAACTTCTTTGACAACCCCCTAACAAAATCTAGCTGCGAGCAGTGATTGGGCTGTGACAGTGTTGATACCAGCCTTTCATTTATGGACCACTTAGGATGATCTAGCCGCTTATCTAACTTGTCGTTATGGGGTCATTTTCACTGCTTAGTTTCCCGATTCCTTAATTAGGGTATTGCTATACTTTTGCTTTTTTTTTTGTGCGGTTTTTAGCACTTAATTCAGCAAAATAGTCCTGGACACATGAGTCGAAGCATTTGCTCCTGGGATACTGCAATTTTGCTTGTTATGGTAGGAATTAGACCGCAAAAGGAAGCAACATCTCTATAAGACAGTCTTGCACCCTGATTTTGAAGATGATGGGCGACTTCAGTACTATCTTGGGACCGTTAGACACTGATCGACACTTTTGTTGGCTTTTTTTTGGCAGCTGGAGACATGGGTCAGTTTTCGCCGGGGCGCGATCTTTGCAGACGCGGGCAACGCGTCTCAGATTGCCAACAAGGTGCGCTTCTCGGAACTCAACACTGAAAGTAGCGAAACAAGAGTTGCAATCGGAGTTGGGAAGGAAGGATCAGTCGCCGACAGCATGTCGGCGCCCTTTAAGCGAGAGAGTAATAACATTAGCTCAAAATAAGGGGCCGTAAACCAAGAGGGATATAGTCAGTTCAGGGAATCTGGAGAGTGGGAAAAATCACTAGAAATGTGTGAAAATGGGAATGTGCGCGTTTACACTATCTTCCTCTCAGAAGGCTCACTCAAGCTGCGCAACGTCACCGACTCTAGCCTCCCCTCTGATCCGATGCCCGAAATAAACAGGTAGCAGCTGTGTGCAAGCATATCTAACCATTTCATGGACCACGGCGTTTACAGCTAGATTAACGTATGATCTACAGAATGAGTAAAAACAATTTGGGAAGAAGCCGCGCATGCCTAGAAAAAGGGATGATAAGGGTGAGACGCGGTAACGCGTCTCAATGTCCAACGAGGTGCGCAAAGTGAGACGCGTTACCGCGTCTCAATGTCGTCAATGTGTTAATACAGATATAAAACAGAGTCTTTAAGTATGGGCCGTAGAATAACCCAAGTGCTTTAAGGCTCTTCTATCCTATTTTTATTCTTATTTTTTGCAGTCATATCAGAGGTGCTGATCGGGCCCTGGCGCAATCATATTGGGAGACAAACTTTTTGGGTAGGTTCGCATTTTTGTCTCAAACAACTATCAAACAACTAGTTGTGCGCCTCGATTACTGATTGTGTTTTCTAGATGTACCTTTTCTATACGGTTCCGAGCAGCATGAAAGGCGACACCACTCGTCTCGCACCACGACGGCAAGTGTTTCGTTTTCTTCACCATGAAGTGCTTGAGTTCAGATTCTGCCAATATCTCATGTAGAAGAACAGCTAGTGTGTGCATGTAATTGTGTTCCACTTATTATTTTTTCTGATTCAAATAGGTGAGATCTTCTCCTCGGTTGCATCCCTCGTCGCACCCTACCTTTTTGATTCTTCCAGATGAAACTGCTCGTTCATCAACGAACTGTTTCAATAACAGGAAGTTGGTAAGGAAAGACAGGTGTAAATGAACTTAGAGATAGGTGCCAAGTTTTCATTTTGCAAGTAATTAGGTTTCCATATCTTAAGCGTAGAAATCCGTTTACTGTATTGTTGGTGGCCCCTCCGTTTAACTTGAGGCATTCCTGCCATGTTATGTGGGATGATTTTACACATTCGCAGCAGATTATGATTTCTGTTAAGAGATGATAGTGTTATTTGTGATCTCATGTGAATTTGTTGTCACTTTTGTGTTTTATTTTCATTCAGGAATCTAATGAATAAATAAGGTCGACATCAGTGAGTTTGTTGGATCTAAGACGCACAACATTCCGTCTTTTCTTGACTAGGAAGTACTGCGGTGCTTACTACACGGGTTACCCTCGCTAACGTATTAGAACCATACAGAAAGCGAGTCCCATTTGTACTATCAAGTTCCAACGAAATAACGTCACCGTTCACGTGAGTGGCTCAATAGTACCTTTATTGAAGACGCAATTCTAGTCTCCGTATCTGACCAAGTTTGGATTCAGTCAAAAACCATGGAACGTCATGGAAAATGGGGTAAACAATGGGGGATTCCTAGGTAAAAGTTGTTATAAGATTATGAACTCAAAAAGTCAGTCTTTGCAGTTTTCCCTTTAGAACTAGGTGTCTTGTCCGACTAAAACATACCAAAGTACTGTACTCGAGTGAATTTTTGTCCATGGGAGATATTGGATCTTAAGAGTGCCCAAGGGATCTTTTACATCCATTTTTCCATTTTGGCGGTACGAAAGTCGCAAGGAGGAGAGCGAGTATCTACATTCGATATTTGTTCTGGTCGTAACTACAAGGTGCACCAAAATTACTTGCTCAAATTTCCGCCCCCGTAAGAACTGTAAAACAATCAATTGATCATTTCTAATAGAACTTTACAAATAAAATGCCATTACAAATCCGCTTCATATCTCGAATTCTCTTTTGGA